GTCAGAAGTTTTGATTACTGAAAATAGGGGGAGAAGTTATGATAGAGACCGAGGACAAGGTAGTAGAGGTAAAAGTAAGGTTAGAAGCAAAGCAATGTCAAAGTACAAAAACCTTGAATGCAACTATTGTGGTAAAAAGGGACATATCAAAAGATTTTGTTTTCARCTKAARAARGRCAATAAAGKTAMCAAAGGTAAGCAGCAAAATAAAGATAATGACAATGATGATCGTGTTGCCACTACCACTGCAAGTGATATTGTGATTGTCTATGATGAGAATTTGATTAATGTTGCTTGTGATGAGACAAGTTGGATTGTTAACAGTGGTGCCTGTTTTCATGTTACATCGAGAAAGGATTTTTTCACATCTTATACTCCGGATGATTATGGGGTTTTAAAGATGGGTAATAATGGTTTGTTAAAGGTGATTGGCATTGGCACTATTTGTCTAAAAACAAATAATGGGACTGAATTGATTTTGAAAAATGTTAGACATTCGCTTGCATCTGATTTCTACCAGTGCTCTTGATGATGATGGCTATGTTAGTACCTTTGGTAATAGACAGTGGAAACTCTCTAAAGGTTCCTTAGTTGTGGCACATGGAAAAAGGTGTTCTAGTCTGTACTGGACCAAGACTTCAGTTTCCATTGATGGTGTGAATGCAGTTGAGTGTGATAACCCGTCAGGGTTATGGCACAAGAGACTTAGCCACATCAGTGAGAAGGGACTTGATTGTTTGGCCAGGAAGAATCTACTTTCAGGTTTGAAAGGTGCAAGGTTAGAAAAGTGTGCTCACTGCTTGAGTTGGTGCATTCAGATCTCTGTGGTCCGATGAAGATAAAAACGTTTGGTGGTGCATTTTATTTTGTTACTTTTATTGGTGATCATTCAAGGAAACTTTGGGTTTATGTCTTGAAAAGTAAAGACCAGGTAATTTGTGTCTTTAAGCAGTTTCAGGCTTCTATTGAGAGGGAAACAAGGAAGAAACTGAAATGTATTGGCATTGATAATGGTGGTGAATATTATGGACCGTTTGATGAGTATTGCAAGCAACAAGGTATTAGATACTAGAAGATGCCCCCTAAGACTCCTCAGCTTAATGGCCTGGTAGAGAGGATGAACAGGACATTGATGGAGAGAGTTAGATGTTAAAGTTGTCTGGATCTTTTTGGGGTAAGGCTTTATATACTAATGCACATGTCATTAATTTATCTCTTGTTGCTTTGCAAGCTGATGTTCCTGACAGGGTGTGGTACGGAAAAGATGTATCCTATGACCACTTACATGTCTTTGGTTGTAAAGCATTTGTGCATGTTCCAAAAGATGAAAAGTCCAAGTTAGATGTCAAGACAATAGAGTGTATCTTCATTGGCTATGGTCATGATGAATTTGGCTATATATTGTACGGTCCAGTTGAAAAGAAGCTTGTAAGAGGTCGTGATGTAATTTTTATGGAGGATCAGACCATTGAGGATATTGATAAGGCAGAGAAATCAGAGTCTTCGAGTACTGATGGGTTGGTTGATCTAAACCTAGTTCCTGAGACATATATGCCTAGTGTAGTTGAGTTTGGTAATCGTGATGATGGCCATAATCATATTCATGATGATTTGGTTGAGGATAATGATGATGATGTTGCTGATGATATTGATGCTTCTGCCAGTTGTGCTATTGATGAACCTGTTGCCCCACTTAGAAAGTCTTCTAGACAACATATTCCCTCTACTCGCTATTCGTCTAATGAATATGTGATTCTCACTGATGGGGGAGAACATGAATGCTACAAAGACACTATGGAGTCTGAGCACAAGAAAGAATGGATTGCCGCTATGAATGATGAGATGAAATATTTGGTTGACAACCATACTTATGAGCTGATCAAGTTGCCTAAAGATAGGAAAGCTTTGCAGAATCGATGGGTTTACAGGTTAAAGGCTGAGGAGAATACTTTCAATCCACAATACAAAGCTAGATTAGTTGTCAAAGGCTACCGTTAGAAAAAGGGAGTTGACTTTGAGAAGATTTTCTTGCCTATTGTCAAAATGTCTTCTATCCGAGTTGTTCTTGGTTTGGCAGCCAGTCTTGATTTAGAGGTTGAGCAGATGGATGTAAAAACTGCTTTCCTTCACGGTGATTTGGAGGAGGAAATTTACATGAAGCAACTAGAAGGTTTCGTGGTGAAGGGTAAAGAAGACTATGTCTGCAGATTGAAGAAAAGTCTATATGGGTTGAAACAAGCCCCGAGGCAATGGTACAAGAAGTTTGAGTCTATTATGATCCAGCAGGGATTCAAGAAGACTACCTCAAACCATTGTATTTTTGTGCAGAAGTTTTCTGATAATGACTTCATCATTTTATTGCTCTATGTTGATGACATGTTGATTGTTGGTCATAATTGTTCTAGAATTGACAGGTTGAAAAAGGAGCTTAGTAAGTCTTTTGCAATGAAAGACTTGGGACCAGCAAGACATATACTTGGCATGCAGATTACTCGTGACAGAGAGGCCAAGAAGTTGTGGTTATCTCAAGAGAAGTATATTGAGAAAATACTTCAGCGGTTTCATATGGATAAAGCTAAAGTCGTAAGTACACCTCTTGCTTTATACTTTAAGCTTAGTACTAGACAAGCTCCTTCTAATGATAAAGAAAAATAAGGCATGCAACGCATTCCTTATGCATTTGCAGTAGGAATTTTAATGTATGCAATGGTTTGCACAAGGCCTGATATAGCTCATGCAGTTGGTGTTGTTAGTCGTTTTCTATCCAATCCAGGTAGAGAACGTTGAATTGCTGTGAAGTGGATAATGAGATATCTCCGGAGTACTTCTAGTTTAAAACTTTGTTTTGGAATTGGAAAAGCTATTCTTTGCAGTTATACAGATTCAAACATAGCTAGGGATGTCGATTCTAGAAAGTCTACTTCTGGCTATTTGATTACCTTTGTAGGGGGAATTGTGGCCTGGCAGTCTAGGTTACAGAAGTGTGTTGCATTGTCTACGACTAAGGCTGAGTTCATTGCTATTACTGAAGCATGTAAGGAGTTGTTGTGGATGAAAAAGTTATGAACTTGGTTTCACTCAACAGAGGTATGTCTTATATTGTGATAGTCAGAGTGCTATCCATCTTGGCAGGAATCCTACTTTTCACGGTAGATCTAAACATATTGATGTGTGGTATCATTGGATATGGGATGTTCTGGACTCTAAGTTGATAGAATTTGAAAAGATTCATACAGATGATAATGGTTTACACATGTTGACAAAGAATCTGTCGAGGGGAAAGTTTGAAGCTTGTCGTTTGATTGTCGGTTTGGCATTTGCCTCCACTTGAGTCGGAGGGGGAGTTTGTTGTGGGTCCTCCTCAAGTGGGGGCCCATTACCCTTTAATAGTAAAAACCGACGAAACTGCCGAATTCACCAAGGGGGAGAAAATTTTGGAAAGGGAACTGTCATCGGTTTTCCTTTGTTTTTGCGAACGGAACAGGGAACCCTCGTCTTCTCCATTGTTCAAACTTCGAACTTCAGCCACCACCGATTGCCGCCTCCATCTCCACCACTCCAGTAACAGTCACCACCGGCCGCCACAAGCAGTAGCCAATGACGCCAGCTGTGTCTTCAACCTTCAACGAGAGAAGATTTATGCTCACTGTCTTCATCAAAACGGGTAATCATTTGTGCTCCGTTTTTTATGATTTTTTAGTATATTGTTCTTGACATCGTGGGCTTTAATCTGCATGGTCAAATTTTCGTTTCTTCGTCTCTTTTGGTTGGATTGTTTGTACCCTATTGTGGGTTATTTGGACTATTTTTTATGATTTCCACTAGTTGATTGTGAGTAGGGGCTTGTGGTCAATCCTTTTGTTTGAAGACACTTTGTTGTACTTATTATATCTTTATAATGAAGATTTTACTGGACTAGGTCATGTGGTTTTTACTCCTCACATTGAGAAGGTTTTCCATGCTAAAAATTGTGTGTTCTCTTGCCTATTTATTTTTGGTGTCATCTTAGTATTATCTATTGTCAGTATATTTTTTATGTATTCTCAACAGTCAAGGCATTTGCAGGTCTTTTTGGATGGATCACCTTTCGGGTTGGATTGGTAAAGATTAGACCATGGCCCTAAATATTTGGGTTAGGGTTGATCCATGGATTAAATAGGTTTATGATTCAATCAGCCACTTAGGTCAGCTGATTTTTTACCAAGTTAAAGATTTTTTTACCAAAATATGGATTTAACCATTAAACTCAAAAGATTTGAACGGTTGAATCGTCCGGATCAACACCGGTTTGAAAAGTGTTGTTTTGAAAGTAGCTAGGTCAGTTGACCGTGACGCGTGATTTGGACCCAATCCGGCCGAATAATTTTGTGGAAGGGTTGGCCGGGTGAAAGCATCTTCAAGCTCGGATCTCTAGATAGGGGATCCTAACCCTCTTTTTCGGGTTGGGTTGACTCGTTACCAAGTCAACAATATATAATTATATACAAGTATGTCTCTCTACCTATTCTTTTTCAAAGTATTTCACACATTTAGAAGAGATGTATGGTTAACATCTCCACTTGATTTTATCTTACCGATCGATCGAGGGTGGCCCACTGATCCAACTGTTCGAATTGATAGCTAACTTTTATCTTCATTGTCGATGGCTGGAGTTTGGCGTAGCATATGATGTCATAGCTTATTAACTAATAATAATATCTATATACGTTGGAAGCAAGTTGAGTATCGAAACACTAGAACTGGACATGTCAACTTAGCTAGGTCAAGCTCGGATCACTAGATAGGGTTGACTCGCTGCCAAGTCAACTATATATATAAAAGTGCTGTTTGGACTTGCTGGGTTTTGAGTTATTTGACATGATTGGATTGACTAGAATCTAGAGATCTGTGGGTATTCCCTATAATTACGCATTTATGCAACCATACAGTACTCCCCACTCCCTATATATATATCAACTCATCAAGCCCTGAGGAAGATCAGAAAGCTGCGAGAACCCTTATCTTCTTGTTGGTTTTCTTTTGAGACGACCAAATATGAAGGTAGGAGTAGTCTCTCTAGGAATGTGGTTGATGTTTTATCATATCCCAGTTTGCTTTTTGAATTGGTCGATTATTCTGTGCTAATTTTGTGGTGTTGATTTGCTTGTGCAACAGCAAAAGATCGTTATCAAGGTGGATATGCACTGTGACGATTGCATGCACAAGGCCATGAGGATCGCTGCAGAAGCATACGGTGTGTATCACTTCCAAACCTGATCTACTTTTGTGTTTTATATATCAAAGTAGATGGATTAAAAAAGACTAAATTGTTCATATATATGCTCTCATTCACAAGTACAAGTGCTTAAAAAGCAAAAAACAGTAAGCTTTTCATCTCCGTACGTTGATTGATATGTACTATGTAGGTGTGATCTCGGTGAAGCTTGATGACTCCAAGGACAAATTGGAGGTGGTCGGAAATGAAGTCGACACCACCTGCTTGACCAACATCCTGAGGAAGAAAGTTGGTTACGCAGTCTTGATCACCATTGAAGAGGTCAAGCCACCGGAACCGAAACCAAAACCAGACGATTGCCCCAAATGTATAATCGTATGTCCACCGGGATGTTGTTGTGTTATTTGTGTTGGTGAAAAGGAAAAGGTTTGTCTCCACCAGGATGTTGTTGTATTATTTGTATACATACAAAGGTACAACCAGCACCCGCACCACCCTCGCCATGGCCACCTTCCCCACCTTGCCCTTATAATAGATGCCCACCAGGATGTTGTTATTGTCAAGTCCAAGTGACGGTTAACGACATAACCCAACCTAATTGATCCATCATGTAATATCCTCAACTGGGGGGGTTGTTCTGTTCACTTGTATAACCGTAGTGGTGGAGGAGGAGGTGGTGGTTGTGGCGGTGGTGGAGGTGGTGGTGGTTGTGACGGTGGGGTGTCTCTAATGTACTTGTTTTTTTTTTTTATGTTGTAACATTTTACATGAATAATGTGCCATTTTACTTGAATAGGTCAAGTAATTTTGTAATATGAATAATGTGCCATTTTACTTGAATAAATCATTGATATATAGGTCAAGTAAGTGGTTTTTAATCTTTTGCCCATCTCCGCATACCTCGCTGTGATGGGGCCTTACCTAATAAGTATTTCTCTAGAAAAACTTAACTAAGTAATTATAATTACCCAGATAAATAACTTAAAGAGTATAAATGCAGGGTAAAAATCTCATTAGTAGTGGATGATTTGGGTCTTACTTGCCCGGCCCACCATGTATAATTCGGGTCATAGAGCCATCATATCTTCTTATTTCTCTTTTTGGAATTTGGGTTGCGTATTCCGTACTTTAATTCCATTCTCGTATTGGTTCAAAGATTATTCACTATTTAATTGATGAATGGACCGGTCGGATGCATGGCCCGGATCTTTCATATTCAATTAGATGCCACCTTATAAATTTTCTGAACCGTACCTGTTAGGATAACCGAGTAAACCGGGTGGTTTGGGTAGGTTGATAGGACGAGTCAGAAGATTCTACCCCAGATCGGATCGTCAATTCGTCGTTAACCTTTCCTTTGCTTGGTCTATACAGGTAATGCAGACTCATGGGGTGATGAACAGAAACTATGGACTATTAATTGAGGATATTTCTGATTTCCTTGAAAATGAATTAATTTCTAATTTCTCTTAACCGCTGAAAATCATTAATTCCATTTTTAAGTGAGTTTCGTACATTGCAAGCAAAACTAGAACCAAATGAATTCCATCAATTTCACGTGGCACCCAAACAGGATATATAGTATCTTAAGTAATTTAATATCTGAACAGCCTGCAAATTTGTGATACCAAATTGTGTTTAAATTAATACTAGCTAGCTAGCAATTAATAGTGCAATAAGATGCTGATTAATGTAAGATTTGCTTAGAAATATATGTAATTATGAGCTATTAATATGTTTCTATTTTTTTTCTTTTTTTTGGTCTTTAATTTCTGTCACTATGTAACGCCTGTGGCTTACGCTCCAACAAGATGAAAGAGAAAAAGGTTTCAGAAATCTAAGTAAACCCAGTGTTGACGTAGGGAGGGAGAGAGACTCTTTGAATAAAACCCATATTATAGGAAGAGAATCCTGGTTCTGATGTCATTTCCAAAGAGATGTATGCCGAGCAAGTTTAGTGAATGAATTGCCCATTTTGTCCTGGGCTTTTGTCAAATTTTAAATGGGCTTGGCCCAAAGGCCCACCCACAGTGTAAATGTTAATAGCCCATTCGAGTTGCATGGTTTCACCCTTGTGTTGAAGAATTTATATAATATAGCTTCTGGCCTGGGCCAATTAGGCCAAGCCCATTCGAATGTTAACAAATGTTTCAACCCAAATTGCAGCCAAAGCAAGCATTTATACATTTGTATTAGTCCAATATGCATTGTAAGTTTTCAACTTTCTTGTTGTATTATTATTATTATGATGATGCACATCATGAGGGAGTAGGTCATGTGGGACTTAAATAAGTGGAAAAAATGAATGAAAAAAAGGACTATTTATTAAATGAAAAGCTAATAATAGTAATATGTTGATGATGGTTATCCACCACTACAGAAGTGTTTATGTTTCTCTTTTTAGGCATTGTCCATAGCTATCAATAATAAATCTGCTTTCCATGTTTTATCGATTGCTTTTGGTTTGTTGGTAGATTTATGGTAGCTTAATTTAGAAATATTCTTGGATATACATGCATGAGCTCCACCACGGTTGTTGTAGGTCGTGGGTGAGGGGTGGGGTCTGGTACCAGGGCCGGCCCTCTGGGGGGTTTATGGCTTATGGCCTATGGGTTTGGGAAAAAAAAAACTTTCATCTCTCTTGCCTAAAAATAAAATAATAATAATAATAAAATTTCTATTTCTCTCTCATTTCCTATCAAACCAAATATGGCCTTAAGGAAAGAAAAATAAGGCTAAAAGACTATTCATTTATTTAAGGAAAAATTTCTTAAACTATCCCTACTATTTAGCTAATGCCAAGATGTAGCCTTATTGTTTATAAATTGTCTTGGAGCATCCTTATTATTTCTCACAATTGTTATCACCGTTAAATCGTAATGGTTTTATTAAAATATCGTTTATGCCCTTCTGTAAAGTTGAACCAGAATTCGCTCAAAAAGAATATTACTATATTAACCCTCAATTATTAACTATTAAACGGGTGGGCGATCCTATTAGCTTCATGCATAAAAGCTAAACCCTTCGTTGTTCGTTCTGAGCACTCCATTACCGCTACAACATCCGGCCAGTGATCGTAAACTTGTGTCTATAGGTAAGATAGAAGAAAACGATGTTTAACACAACATATACGAGTTTTATGGTTTTTAAACCTCAATTTGTAGAAGAAAGCGTTGTTGTTTTTAAACCCTAATCCTTTCGTCTTACATGGTTCTCTTATTGTCAATATTTTGTGTGTTAGATTCGATGATCGTATTACCCAAATAAATCGAAGACAATACCTTCATCCTTGTCATGTTGATACATGTGTGATGTAGGTGGTTCAAAGAGGGTGATCATGACCAAACCAAAAATGCCCAAACCGAAAAGGTCCATTTTAAACCGGTAAAGCGTAATCGAAGAATTTTTTGAACAATATACCCATTACGTGATGTCGCATGTCAATGGCCCATGACGAATAGTTGATGGTAGGGGAAGTTTGTGACAATTGTGAGAAACAGTATGGGTGCTCAAAGACAATTTATAAACAATAAGGGTACATCTTGACAGTTAGCTAAACAGTAGGGGTAGTTTAAGAAATTTGCCCTTTATTTAATTAGTATTTCTTTTTATTTCTTAATTTTAAAGGCAATACATTGTGTTAAGTGTTATAATCCTAATTGGTTTCATATTTTACAAGCTTGTTAATTATGAACCTAACATCCTCAAGGTATTATATTTTGGATGCCAAAGTGAACGGATAAATTTTCAAATTTTGATAATTTTGGAATGTTTATAAATTTAAATATTTATATTATTGCAAAATATTTTAAATTCATATTACTTACTTTTATTAAAGTTGATTTTATCTCCTAAATATAAATAGTTAAAATCCCAAAATTTCCCAAAGCATTTAAAAACTTCAGCTGAAATAAATATAACAAAGTTTTTTATTAGGGGTGCAAGTTAGGCCAGGTTGAGGTCAACCCTAACCCAACCCAAGCTATTGAATAACTGAAACCCCATCTGTAACCCTAGCCCAACCCTAAGGGGAAATTCATTCATTAATTCTCAGCAGTTATCTCTTGTACAATGTTATCATTCAAGAAAATCATGTACAGAGAGGGCCACGTTCTACTTCTAATACAAGAGATAAATTTTTGCCAAAAGTTGGTGATCAAGATGCCTATGTTCTTTTTTCAAATTTATGTGGGGTTCATGGAAAATTTATTTTCATCACCCATCTTCCAGGCGAATAAGTAACTTTCCCACATGAGGGGAAAGTTGCCAACACTTGGATGGGATAAAATTGCCCCTATCAATAATGGATTTTTATGATTAAAATAATCATTGTCTTATTTACCCGGGAAATAAAAGAGCATGAGTAAATGTACTTACCTGGGTAAGTGTTTCCTAGTAAATACTTGCCCAGATAAGTGCATTCACCCAAGTAAATAACTTCCCGAAAAGTGAAGAGCATGAGTAAATAAAAGAGCATGAATAAATGCACTTACCTGGGTAAGTGTTTCCTGGAAAATACTTGCCCGGGTAAGTGCATTTACCCAAGCAAATAACTTCCAGAAAAGTGAACGGAGCTTTAATAATAAAAATGGTGAAAGACTACAGTGGTTCTAAAGAACCCACCAACAGGCACCTAAAAATGTTCAGTGCATTACCTTCAATGAAAATGTGAGTCACACCCACTTCTAATGTGAATTTTTCAGATCTTCAATAGAGCCAAAGCTTTCATCGAGGAGAAATAGAGATGGATACATATATACATACATAACTTTTTGGATGCATAATTGCATCATATATACGTTAATACTTACATTTATAGATGTGTTTATATAATATTTTGTCATACAAATAAGACGTTAAGTCAGGTTTAGGCTGTTGGGTTATGATTTGTCAACGCCACAACCCTAACCCTAACCCAAACTTTAACTTGCCCCAGCCCAACCTGATTTTTTCAAGTTGGGTTTGGGCTAACCCAGCCCAAGTTGCGGTCCTATTTTTCATCTCATTCTGGCATTTTCTGAAATAACTAAATTTCAAAACCATGATCACCCTGATATCTTATAGGGATGGTTCTGTTCTGATTCAACAGAAAGTGATAATTAGGTTGGTACTTGGTCAACCCCGACCAGCCTTCTTTGACCTGTTGACATCCATATTCATGATAAGTTTCTACCAGGTCAACCAATATAAATTAGCACACAATTGTTAATTGAAGCTATTTTTTGTTGAAATAGGCAAATCTTAAAAATGCATGCGCGAGAGGTTGTTTCCAGAAACATCAAATTGGTGTTTCTTCAAGGTAAAGTCCAATCATTCTAGTTAAAGTAACTCTCACATGTGATGCGACAACATATATCCTTCATCAATTTGTATTGATCAATCCAAAACGTTTCAGCTAGAAACAGCAACGATACCAAATACAACCGAAAATTTATTTGATTCTAAATTCGAATTTAATCTATTTACATATACGGATCAACCTATTTGATTGCTTGCATGTAAAATGAAAGAAAATGAATGATTTTCATGAAAAAGAAATTACTCATTTCCAAATTTTCTAATGCAAGATAGAACAGAATGGTGAAATGGGCTTCCTGTATCTGAACTCGTTTATATTGTATACATGTAATGGCCGATTGGATGAATCTTAGAACTTAGATAGGTGGAATGATATAGAAGGATTCCGTGGCTAACCCCAACTAGTTGAGTAATAGAATTAGAATGACTGAAATTTGAGAAATTTTATTTACTGTATAAAAGACTAGAATGAAGTAATTTCATTGCAGATTGTTGAAGCACCTACAAGGGTTTGACAGCCAAACGTGAAAGTAAGTCAAAAACATAAGATTTCACTGGTCTCACATACTGCTCTGGGCTCAGATTTTGAGCCATCATTCTAAGCAGTGCTCTCAAGTTTGATTTGCCCTTCTTGCTAATCCTGTTTTTTTACCTCACCCTCTTTCCATTCTTTCCAGCCAGTTGTCCACCTTTCTGCAAATAAAATTCAAGGATATCGGTGCCCTGATTCCAGAATCAAAGTCCAAGGCAAGAAAACTGTTGCATGTTCTGCTTTTACATATCACGGGCCTTTTGCATTACACAGGGTGTCAACAAACACAGAGATGGGTCTACACAAGTTAAACAATGAGATGGCCGAGAGGTCGTCAAGACCTTAAAAGGGTTAAGGAGGCATCCACCAAAACGCCATTAAGACCATTTCCACTCAAAAGGATTAGAATTTTGAAGCCTAAACTAGTTTTCCATATATGATACAGGTTTTTGATGACCGACTCTGAAACCTTATAATTTGAAGTTAAGATATCCATGGTTTGATCGGCAAACCCATAGGGTCATTGCATGATTGCATCTTCAGTACGCTTAGCACGCACCAAGTCCTTTTAACTTGACGATACACAGAAATTCCAAAATTCCAAGTATTACAGTGTTTATAAAGCGTCGTAATAATAAACCCAGAAGGAAAATTGAATGAAAACCAAAGAAGGAAAATAAACAAGGAAACGCCTCTATATATTCAGCCCCTTGTTCAGAGGGGAATAAATTATAGTTCTAAACATCAAATGATCTACAATTGAACAATGTTCTTTTGGGATTGTAGACAGGCCCTCTGAAATCAACCCCATCTAACCCAGCAAAAGACGCTTGTAAAAAGAATCAATGAAAAATTTTGTATAACAAATATTAATTCGTCAGCTCCCGACCCCTTCATATCTACACACCATCTCGCCTTCACCTCATCTCTATGATGATTTTCACCATGCAAAATCATCTTGATGTGTTTCATCTTGGTTTTGAAGATTAGCACTCTTCCACAACTCACAACCAACCTCAAAATGCAGCTCAAAGCATCTAATCACCGTCCATGAATCTCAGTCATCACAATTCAAACCACAAACTTCTAATACAATGCCACCTTTTGCGAGGAATGGGTTGATCCGAACCCATAAAAGTGAGAAAATTGAGGCAAGAAGAATTGACCAGACTACAATTATGGTTGGCACTCTATCCTGCTTCCCCATTAACCCCTTGAGGAATGGATAGAGATGAACAATGACCCAGAAAGCAAAAAACAATTTACCAAACAGTGGCCCCCATGATTCATACCCATTGTTGATGGCATCTGAAACTCCAACCACGACCCCAATTATGTTGATGATCAGTAACGTCATGGGTGGGATCAACAACGACGTCCATTTGAAGAGGTAAAGCTCTGAGAATTCACCATCATCTCCTGCTTTTGATGTAACAGTGAAGTTTGTGTTGACCCCGGCTAAAACCTTGAGCAGACCCTGGAACAGAGCAAAAAGATGCGCGGAGACACCACCAATCACCCAAAACTGCTCATTTCTCCACCAGTCATCTATTTGAACGCCTCCCCACTGCATCTCAAGGATACCTGTTGCAGCTATGGATATGAAGAGAGCCATGAATATAATGCTCGCATAGTTGCTAATCTGCACAGGACAAAAAAAGTACACAATGTGAGAGGAGTTTTCATGAAAATTTATAGTGAAATAGCCAATTGAATCATCAATAATAACTATCTAAATACTAGACCAACTTAATGAGGCATAGACAATAACTCTCGTTAAGACAATAACTACAGGATTCAGATTAAGCTTTCAAGTTATAAGAGGAATCAGCAGACGGCAAAGTCTGCTAGCATTTGAACACTGTCAAACCACATGGAAGTGCAATTTGTAGAAAAAAAGTATAAGAGTTCAGACAATCATTTTCAATAGAAAACAAATATTTAAAGAGAAACAATTGGAAGTACCTCAGGGACAATGAACTTTCCGGTAAGGAGGCACACAGCAGGCAATGTACAATACGCTATCAAAGGAATGGAAGTCAAAGGATATACAACCGCATTTATATAGTTAAGTCTCTCCAACCATTTCAAGCCACATCCATAGCCATACCAGATTGGACAATGCTTGCTTAAGAAAATTTCTACAGATCCAAGAGCCCAACGAAGAACCTGATGTAAACGATCTGACAGGTTGATAGGAGCTGACCCCTTAAATGCAGGCCTTTTAGGCATGCAGTATACAGATCGCCAGCCATGGCAGTGCATCTTGAAGCCTGTTAGGATATCCTCTGTAACGGAACCATATATCCAGCCAACCTAGTTCAATTATGAAAGTTTTAGGGGACAAATGATCAAAATCTAAGTAAGAAAATCTCAGGGAGCTTTTTTGTGATTCATTTTTATTACATGGTCTATGTAAATCACCCACCTCTTTTCCCCATTCGGTTTTATCTTCATAACCACAGCTAATTACATGGATCGCTTCTTTCAATAGGGATGCAGAACTTGCTCCATTATGAACACCACCACTTTCTAGTAGTGTGTTAGTTACAAACACCGGAGACTGCCCAAACTTTTTCTCAAGTTTATTTTGAGACATGAGGGATGATTTCTCACTATCTTTTCCTGCCAATGGAGATTATTTGGTAAGATAACATGTTGCTACATATAAAGAATCACAAACCTGCAGTCAAGCCAATTTTCTTCAAAATTATCCTTACCTTCAACTCCCTCTTCAATATTTTCAAGTGCATGTATCTGTGTTGACGCTTCTCTGTTCTTAATCTTTTTCTTTCTGTTCTTTGGTTTTATTTTCCTGTTCTTTCTGGACCCACAACAACAGCAACACCATTTAGGCCAACAGTTGCATGTCTTTCCTGGGGGCTTCTCTTTTACAGGGGCATCATATCCATAAAGAGCTTGCCTTCTGAAAACACACCCTGTTCCAACGTAGATTGGTCCCTGGATCCCATCTAGACCCTTCATGTTAATCTGTTTTTAATTGAAAATAGAGTTAGTATTTCAAATAAAACAAAAGAATATATAGATATAGATATTGCATGTATGTGTATGTATGTATGTATGTATATGCGTACAAAGAAGCTTTACATACATCAAAAAACACAACATTGCGATTTGAGTATCTGTCATGACGATCAATTCCATCAAACCGCTGAGGAAACTGCACATAGCAGACTTTCTTTCCAGATGTGGGGTCCATCAAGAAGCACATGGCCTCTCTAAGGGCCTTGCTGTTGTTTATATAGTGATCACAATCGACATTCAGAAGGTAAGGAGCGTTGGAAAGGACTGCAGAGACCCTCACCTTCAAGATCCGACATACCCATTAATTAAATATTCAAGAAAATCTAATAAAATCCAGATCGCTAAATTCTACATAAAGGCATAATAAAGTGCAGATAGTCATTTATTGATTAGGACAAGAAGCGGAAGTTAACACCAATAAAAATAAAAAAGATTTGGGCTTTGTCAAAGCATTCATATCTCCAGATTAGTAAAGTCCAGAAACTGTAGTTGATCAATTAGAACAAGAATTTGGGGACAAGGGAAGACTTGATCAACAGCAAAAGATATCAATGAGAAAAGAATTTGAACTATACCAAAGCATTCATTGCCCCAGCTTTCTTGTGGTGATCAAATCCTGGCCTCTTCTCACGAGAAACATAAACCAGACGTGGTAACATATTTCCTTCAACATCACGCACACCATTTTGCCCAAGAAATACCTGTTGCAGAAAAGCAGATCAACAGAAGATGAGAAAACACTGCCAGCATTCATATCTTTGGTTCAATAAAGATACCAAAGCCAGCATGGATACATGTTACTCGACATGTTTGTTATTTAACAGATTTTTCCCAGAAGTATGTTGCAAAAATAATGCTTGTCAGCTTGTGCATGATTGGCAGATACCACATCAAACACACAAACACAGTCAAACTTGTCAAATTAAAAGGAGTTGTAACCAATTTTCACATTCTTCACATTTTACAGAACTCCTATTCTTCTCTCAATACACCAAAAATGCCACAAGAATAAAAGAATTGAACAGCTTCTTCAAAAAAAAAAGTTTTTCACGTTTTTCAGAATGAAATAATGTGACATTTTTCTTTTGAAAAAGGTGAACTAATGTATTGGATTAAAAGAAACCCAAAAAAAATACAAGATAGGGGCCCATACACTGAGATCATGTTGGAAGGAAAAATAGCCTCCAAAAAAGGATTAATAAAAGAACATAGAAAAGGATCTAATAATCACCCAACTGGATAAAGTTTTCTCATAATTACTGGCATTTGAGCCCATAAAGAGCACAGCATGGTAGAAAGAAATAGCCACTTACTTGGATCATTCCAGGATGATCTCGTACATTGTTCCCTGGCCATGGAGTTCCATCCTGCATTGTCCAACCTTCTTCAGGAACCTTCTGTGCCATTGCAACTAACCCATTTATCCGAACCTTGAACTCTTCATATTCTCTCTGTAACAACACAATGACGCAATCAGATGAAAAACTTTGGTGTTGCTTTTCACCAGATATTTGGTCTGTAAGTGAAGGAGAATAGGCATTAGAGGGAAAGATAGAGTGAATTTCCTAATGGAGGGTGAAAGGATAAGATGTTCATGGATTCAAGAAGTAGTGACTAGATTGTGCCCTCTTATTTGGCATTATTGTGGAGGTTTATTTATGTTGACGATTTTGATAACAGTAGCAGGTTTCTTTTGTAATGAATTGATCTGGGCTATGGGAGCTAGTATATATTTACATATTCTGTTAAGGCTGTATTGGATTCAATCTAATAACTTTTTAGCATTATATATTAATGTACAACAAATTTAATAACTTTTTTTTAATTGGGTGTCTCTCAAAAAAGAAAAACATAATTAAGCAATCCAATTTCCAAATAGGAAATACCCTATCACTTTGTCAGTAGTTTTATCATTTTCTTGTCAATTTTCCTTTTTTATTTAATTGAGGCAACTTTACAAGACAAGGAATCAAGGAAAATAATGGATGCATACCTTCATCGCACGCCGTTCCCTCACAAAGGTTGGGTGGACTTTGTCTTTCAAATAGTCAATCTTCTGAGAAAAATACCATTCTGGAGCACGGGGCTCAAGATTGAACTTTTTGCAAAATGGGACCCACTTCCTGGCAAACTCAGATGTCTCAGAAAGAGCTTCAAAAGTAAGCATAGCAGCACCATCATCTGAGACATAGCACGAGACTTTGTCGACTGGATAATCCACAGCAAGGATGGATAGAACAGTGTTGGCAGTGATGAGAGGGGGCTCCTTCATAGGATCAACTGTACTTACAAATATGTCTATGTCAGCCAACTCAGATGGCTTCCCTTCCTTCTCATACCTATAAACAAATTTTAAGTTTGAGGTAAGATGACATAAACACAGAAAAATGAATACACAAAATAAGAAAGGGCCCAAATTACCTCAGTGACAACCGATCAAGATAAGTTTCCCGCACAATAGGATACCATTTGGGGAGTTGATCCAATATCCATGAAACCGCAAACCATATTTCACAAATAATGGATGTAAGCCACAACCCATATGCATCACGGACTGGGTGGAGAATTCTATAATGAAAAAAGAAACCAAGAATCACAAGCCTAAGTACAATTATCATTCTGTATGGATTTATCTTGCTTGAAGGAATGGGCAATTTTCTTGAAAGTGGCTGCCTCCCTTCATCCGTCCTGAAAAATAAATTTGAGACATTATAATTTATGTGTAAATATTTGACATTCAATAAAAAGATTTAACAGAAATAACTTTTCATTCATTTAATTTAGCTTCAGATCATGACGTATTATTTCATTATGACTGTAACAAAACCAACAATGGTGAAAATTCTTTTGATAGTTTCTCACAAGATCTGAAAGTCATTGGATCCTTACCCATGAGGTCATAATCAACACCAAAGTGAAAATTTCTTAATAAGGCAGGAGAAGCAAATATCTCATGGGCTCAGATGGATCATGGATGGACCCAGCATCTTCCTACTTCAGTTTGCAAACATCTCTATAATCTTCTAGCAAACTAGACATAAAGACGCCATACTTTTTTTGGTGATTCAACATACTTGAGGTGCATGCTGATTTGATTTGGGACTGTATCCAGAAAAAAAGGTGTAATTAAGCAGAAGCAAAATCCTTCCAATTACAGAGGATCACGTTCAACCTTTAAAACTCAACCAACCACAGTTATAGGGTTAGGTGTGGTTCTTTGCCCTCCATATTCTTGGGATTACCTCTTAAGGTCAACCACATACCAAAGTTACTCCAGAATTTGTTGGTTGAAAGCAATGCTAGTACCCATCCAAGGGTAAAAGCTAACTTTGATCTGAATTGATTCATTTAATGTTCCAGCTTATTGCTCGTCCATGTTCTTAATTATGGCTTATGTGCCTAAGCCTAACACTTGGAAATGTTCAGCGGAACTTTTCTACTTGTGGAGTGGTCCTAGATGGGTACCTTCTAAGAGCATAGAAAACTGAGTCCTCATCCTTTTTTACTTTACATTGTAAAGAAATAAATATCAACTTAATGCTGTATATTGGTTCTTTAATGTTCCAGCTTATTGCTCATTCATGTTCTTAATTCTGGCTTATGTGCCTAAGCCTAACACTTGGAAATGTTCAGAGGAACTTTTCTACTTGTGGAGTGGTCCTAGATGGGCTCATCCTTTTCTACTTTACATTGTAAAGAAATAAATATCAACTTAATGTTGTATATGGTTCTTTTTGTTTGTGGATAATGTTCATAAACAGAAGCATTTATTTGTTGTTCTTGTATAATTTTTCAGCATAGCTATTACACTTACTTTAATCACATGAAGAAGCACATTCCTTTACCACAATCACCTCTCACTCCTTAACTAGAAATAAATCAAAACTGACACTTTTGGCTAGATATCGTCTATGCATGAGATGATCAAGATATCTGGTGTTTTAGTCTACACTAACAGATCCTGAACAAGTTCACTGAACTGCTTTTAAACAAAGAAGAGACAGAAACATCCAGTAAATCTTAAAGTTAATAAACTAGCAATTTAAGTAACTAAAGTTCTCAGTCTGACAATAAAATATTCATTTGGATGCTCAAACAGTTTAGAAATCTCTGAAACTAGAAGCAAAATGTTACATTAAATCTTGAATCATACTAATTCAGGGATATAAACGTAAAAGAAAATGCAAGAAACAGAAAAAAAAAAAAAAAAAAGAGATATCATTAAATACACTTACTTTGGCAAATCAGGGTCATCTGGATCATCTCCATCATAGTTCCCACCATTATCACCTTGGTGTTTAACCACCTGCAATTTATCATGTTGCCTTTTCTTCCACTCCTCCATTCGATCCTTCCATGCAACACTCCCATAACCGTATACTGCTAGATCCTTTTTAGGATCCATTGGTCTGGGTTGCACTGTAAAATTAACACTACTAAGTACAGCATCCAAGAAAGGAATGAATTGGCAAATCAAATAACATGGAAATGGTAGCATTGAAGCAGAGCCAAATCAATCCAGTGAACTTACAAGACATTGATGAATCAGGAAATGGCATTGGATGGATTCGTTTTCCACCACCCATAAAAGGGGGTATAATGAGAGCATGTCGATCAGAAGAAATCCCAGCGTCCTAAACCAAGATCAATCAAATTCAAATGTCTAAAATTGCAGGTTTCAAAAAAAAAAAAAAAAAACAAAGCAAAACAGTGCATCAGACAGTGCTTAACCAATTTACCTCTTGGCCATAGGTCAGGAGAGGGATGTCCGGACTAAGAGAGGAAGAATCAGGATTTGACGGCACAGATGCATTGGCGTAGGAGCCACGACCCACATTAAGGCGAGAGGAGAGAATTGCCTCGGCGGTCTGGTGTGAGTCCATCTCATGACTCCCAAAATCAAACTCGTTTTCCAAGTCATCAACACCATCCTCTTCTTCATCTCCATCAACCCTGGCACTGCCTGCAAAGTGCATGGCATTTTAACAGTGAAAAAACCAAAGTTTTCGGATTGGAGATAGCAGAGAAGAAAAGGTTATAGAACCATACCTTTGATGCGCTTGTATCTGGTTTTGCATTGAGGGCAGATCTGATTGCCCTCTCTTCTCTCATACTCGTAGCAGGGCCGGCACACAGGGAAAGCACATTCATTACAGGCAACAAAAGGCTCTCCGTCGTCTGTAATTTCCACCTCATCTCCACATATCTGGCAAATTTGCCCACTCAATTCCTTCACAGACTTCACCTGTAAATGCACAGAACCGAAGTCTCAAGAAGAAGCAGAAGCAGAAGAAGAAAATAGAGTACACTAATTAGGCAAGGAAAATGAGCTGATTTGCTTTAAGAAAATAGAGTAAACTCCAGGCATTAGAATGGAACGCACAAATTCCCTTTTATTTCTTTGTTTTTTTTTTTTTTTGGTTTTTTTGTGGGTGCGTTGAGTTCTAGACTAGTTCAGGAACAACGTCTACTGTATGAAGTATGAACTCCACAGATTTTGCCCCTGACTCAACAAGCTGACACCTTCAACTATACAATGTTAAGCTTGAAAAAAAAAAAAAAAATCCTTTGCAGAGAAGTGTATCCTTCTCCAAACTAAAGCGGAAGCAAGCACGAAAAACTGGAGCACAGAAAATTCTCCCAACAAATACAAAACCAAAAGTCCCACATTAATCAACAACATCTTCAAGCCTTCAAACCCAACACCAGAATAAGAAACATAGAACCAGAAACCGGCATTTCGCTCTCTATCGGAAGAAAAAGGAGATTAAGAAAAAAGAAAAAAGTCAACATAAAAAAGTTGAAGGGAAAAAAGGGACAAAAATGTATCGCATTTCCGATTAGACCAGATTGCTGAAGCTTAAATGAGCAAATGGGCATCCTCTTATCATCATTTGAGCTCAGAAATAAGGAGAACAAAAGCAGAAAAGAAGTCAAATGAGAGATTTTGGTGACTCTTACTCGTCCAATCTCATCGGCATTGATGACGACGAACTCATTTCTATTGTGAGAACCGGCAACAAGTCGACCTCCTGTGTACATGGCGCCAACCCACCACCCCAGACCCAGAGACCTAAACTCCTCAAATCAAAAATCCCACTTCACAAATCGGTCTCTCCCCTACTTTCATCACTCCAGAATGCTCAAAAAGATTGCCTTTTCCCTTACCTAAGTTTCTTCAACCCCAAACTCTGTTCATGCACCCATCACAAGAAAACCCAATCTCGTACATTAAAAAAAAAAAAGACGCAGAGGAAGACGAAATAAATGCAGGAATAGAATACAAATAAACTATAGAGAAACCAGAAAGACTCCTCCTCACTCCTCAGCAGAGTCTACTATGCCTTGAAAGACCCGTTTTCTCACAGATAAAACATTGCGATCTGGCTGATGTCGAGCGATGGCAAGGGCCAAGGAGTAGTTGTGACTTCAGAGAACCGATGACGCGTTCAAGGAGATCATCGAGAAAGGGAAAGAATCTGACAGCGTTGAAATTTCAACGCGTAAGCGAGAATCAGACGAAAATGGGCAGAGCAGCGGCGATCGAGAGACGCATCTATGTAACCGTGTGTCATGGCTCATGAATGAAACCCAGATGATGGTGGGGCCCATGCCGCGCCCCACCACAGCTGGTGGTGTCACCCGTCCATGGAGGAAAGAGAGACCATTTCGGGATTTTTTAGATATATTCTCTTTTCTCTCTTAGCTTAGGTTTGCTTTTTTTTTTCTGTCCGTCAGTCTCACACGGTTTTGGTGTGCTTTATCCTTTATAGTTTTTATATTACTCTTCTGTGTATGGATTTGGGCTCAAAAGTTCTAAGTTGATGCATCACTTTCTTCTCAATTTATAATTTATTGTGATAGTTTCTTTTCTCGTGAGAAATTAATTATCAAAGGAGAAAACCCGGGTAGGATTTTCTTCGAAAGGGTGGAGTGCAATCAAATTCTTGGACCAGGTCAGTATGAACTGGAAATAACTGGCATAGAACAAGAAAGAGTGGAGTACTGGCTGGAGCCTGTATTTGGCTCAATAACAGCACTCAAGTGTTATACTCCGTACTGAATTGACTTGGCCAATTTTGTTCATCAAATATTGAATAGAGCAACATTTGTTCATCAAAGCTAATAGCCATAGTTAATTAAAGCGCAATTGGTATCATAATTCGAGTTGCAGAAAGTGATAAGCTGGGCCTTTAACTTTTGACATTTTCCGCTAATTTCATCAAAGGTTAACTGAGATTATTGAAACCCCACATGATGGGTTTGTGAGCAAGAGGTCACCTGAATGTCCAATTTGTCCACCACAAACAAATACGGAGTAAAGGAGAATAATAGAAAGCATAGTCAGAATTCAGAAACATATTGAGAGAGAAAAATCAACGAAGATTCCCTAGACGGGTTGTCTAGTCTAGTCCACTACTTGTTTCAGCCTTCCAAGTGGAAGCAAAGGCATGATGATTTGACTGGTTGAAGCCATGGATCAAACAAACAACTCAAATTTCCCTAGACGGGTTGTCTAGTCTAGTCCACTACTTGTTTCAGCCTTCCAAGTGGAAGCAAAGGCATGATGATTTGACTGGTTGAATCCATGGATCAAACAAACAACTCAAATTTCACGTGTTTATCGTCCAATCTACACCTTAGAAAATGCCAGCTTTCAGTGGCTCTCTTGGGCTGAAAACTTTTCTCTGAATGGACTGGAATTAGCCATCTAAGCCTTTTGCCACCACCCACCACCACTAAAGCAGATTCTTGGGTCACTTGACCACATTGCCAGATCGTTTGTCTGCCAAATTCATGATCCATATTTGTTCTATTGGGATTTCCAATTCCTATCGGGTCTATAGGAATGAAGAAGAATCTCCTAATAACTTTGTGAGAAGACACCCTTACTACTGAATAGGGCACATCCCATTCTTTCATAAAATGGACACCATTCTTGGTGAAAGAGAATGCTGTGCCCCCTTTATGAAAAATAGGGGGGCCCAAATTTTTCTTCTAGTCATTATAGATATATGAATCCTGTTTCGTCATTCCATTATGTTGAATGCCATATCAATTGTTAAATTAGAAACTTTAGCAAAAGCAAACCTTTATTATTGAAAACCCCATTAAATTTAATAAATCTTCTTTTAGTTTTAACGAAAGATTTATATGAGTTACAAGTCAGGACTCAGGAGCTGTTTGATAAAAGGTGCAGTGGCTGAACTAAATAGCTTATTGCTTTGCCTTTTGGTGAACTAAGTCATAAGGTTATGAGCTCCTTAATGGTTGAAGAACATGAGTTTTTTTTTAATGCATAATACTAATTAAATTATATTGACCCTGTTAAACTAAAACAAGTAAAATTAGTTACCCTTTAGCTTTAAGCTAAGGGTATAATGGCATTGGCTAAATGGCTAATGCTGGTGCTATTTTAATTAAGTTTTAACCACCACCATGAAGTCATGAACCCTTCAAGTCTGACTATCATTTTTATACAACGCATGGCTGTATTGTCAATATCATTAAAATTACATTCCAACTACTCAGCCCGGCATGCATGTGAATGCCAGTCCACCATTGCTGATTATCCAGAACCACATTATTCTATATGGATAAAATCAATAGAAATTATTATTTAGCTAATAAAGAAAATTACAAAAGATGTAAAGATATGCTAATAGGATTTCAGCTATAGAAATTGACAAAATAGAGAGGTTGTTACATTCCCCCATCATAAGCTTTAAAAATTAAAAACAAAAAAAAAAAAAACTTTATTTGTTTGTTGAAGGATACAAGACAATAAAAAGAATGAATAATAGAAGGAAAGTTATATATATAGCCAAGAAATGTGAGAACAAAATATTGTAGAAATATCTTAATGTCATTTACTTACTCAATTTGAAAAAATCCCACCACCAAATGGCTCCATCCATTGTTCTTTGAATTCCCATTTCTATTTTATGCATAAAAATAAAATAAAATAAATTTACCAAAAAAAAAAGAAAGAGAGAGATACCATTCTAGGGAATATTGTTTCTAGAATACCCCTCTTGCCCTCTCCCTTCCCAAAATTTGCAAAGTTCCATTATGTGTGACATAGCAGAGACCAGGGTTAAAAGGGTAATTTGATATTCCTACAAGAGCCCTAATCCAAAAAATGATCAGGCAAACCTAAACCTTTGGGTGGAAGTTCAAACTTCAAAGCATGTCAGCTAAATCCCAAGAGAACATTTGGAATGTTTCTGTCAAATTGTGACTCCTCGCTTTAATTAATGTGAGCCTTGCCAACTGGTCAGATCAATGGCTGTAAACTAGAAAGCCCTAGTTGTAAATCTGTAAAGTGAGCTAGGTCATTTTGGTCTTTAGAAAAAGGAGCTCGATCTGGTCAAGTACTAATGTCAAGAAATACAGGGTATTGCTTGGATAGACTGATGGTGAAGCGCGATAGCCTTTTCCCAATTCCCATGACATGGAATGAAGTAGAGAATTGGTCAACTGGATTTGGGACCTACCGTTCAGTGGACCCCATTTTAATATAATCTTGACGCCGTTGATTTCAAATCAAACGATAACAGACGAAGTCCTTGAGTTAGTGGAATGTGGGTAATTTCCAGATGTTTCCTTGTAGTAGATTAAGTTACCGCCTTTTTTTTTTCTAATTGAAATTTGGTAAGCCAGGGACATAGGATTTGTGTCCCGGTTTTAAAGTTATTTATTATTATTATTATTTTTTTTTTTGGTCGGTTTTAAAGTTGAGGGACAGTGACAGGCATTAATTGATTTGAGTTAGTGTTGATGTGCTGGGTATATGCTTTTTCATGGAGATGAGACGCAAAGACAGAGACCCAATTCGTTGAATTTTTTTATTTGATTACAGGGATTGGATGTTGACCGTCTCCTATTAAAGAAAAGTTAAAGCTTCAATTATTGCGCTACTCTATTCGTAGTCTCTTACCATGCACAAGCACAAACAACCATCCATCTACCCTTAAGATGGGTTGGACTGGTTGTTTTGGTGGATGGATCAACAGGAATCACGATGGTATTTTTCAATTTTTGTTAATTTTGGACAAAGTAAGTTTTTATTTCTATTAATATTTATTATTATTTTAATATTATATTCAATTTTTTTGAGAAAGCAATGGACTCAACTCAAATGAATATGTACATGAGTGCCTATATTTTGTGTTGTAAAAGTATTAAGAGTGGAAATGTTAGAATATCTTAAGTTGGAATTCTAATTTTGGGAATTTAAGTTCACCTAGTTCAATTCATGTGTCATGTGGGAAGTTGATCATAAATCCCTTTAAGTTTTTTTTTTTCTGCAAGTTCTATGTTTGTATGAATTGGGTATTAATGGACCAACCCAATGATGACAGAAGCCATACTCTCTCAAAAGTTTGATTAGTGTCATTATATAGTAATTAAAAATAAATAAAATAGATAACATAATATTAAATTATTTAAAATAAGCTTAATTTGCATTATTATCAAAAATAATTGGATATTTTTAGTTATATCATGATCAGCATCATATAACTCAACAAAAATATGAAAGAAAGATATATACAAAGAAAGAATGAATAATGGCTAAGGATGTAACTTGGTCATCCCACCCCGTAACTTTGCATGGATTGTGCTTGAATTTTCAGTCCTTTTATTGAGCTTGGGTCCAATACTTTGAGCTTTTTTTTTTTATTTTTAGGGTAGACCTGGGTGTAGCCCTTAGGTTGCTTGAACCTAATCCGAGCCCAGCTCGAGTTTATTCCAATCCAAATCCAGCCCGGTTGTATACATTCATAAATAATATATACACACATATTATATAAGTCTATTTGCATAAATGCATGCATACATGTGTATATGTATGCCAAATTTTAGAGTGCACTCATTGACCAACCTGAGATTGGCTTGGGCCCAAGCCCAACCTGAATGCATGAAATTTTAATGCAAGCTAAGCCCGGGTTGAGAAGATCCGGCACACACTTATGAATGACAATGAGGGCAAGGAAATATTGGAAAAGAAATGATTATATAATATATAAAGCCAATATTTAATACACAAGCAAATTTATCTATATTTATGAAAAATGTATAATAAAAATATGAAAATTTTCTGAACCAGATTTTAGTAATAACAGTAGAGTTTAAAGGTTGACTCAGATATCTTTACAAAACATTTATAAAAAAATTCAAATCAATTATTACCAAATACAGTACCTAACAAACATGTTAACCTAACTTGATCAAGTGAATCAATTCTCATGTGTCGTCCAAACAACAAACTTTTAATTCAAATGGATTTCAATGCATAAACATTCCAAATGATGTGAATTTAAAATTCACGGGAATTCTAACTTACACAAAATCTAAAAGCACCATAAGAGGAATTTAATTAGTGGGTTATTAATCTAGAACTCTATATGGAAAAGTTTTTAAAGTATGATATTAGTATGGAATTGAGGCCTACTTCCGACAAAATGAACTTGGTGACCCACAAACTAAATGAATTTGATGCATTTTGTTGGTAGTATTTCATGGTGTCTACAACTTGATATTGGTATGTCTCTCTTATTCTAATCACAGGTCACAAACCAAGGTGGCAAGGTAGTTGTAGAATAATTAGCACCATACAGTCTTTGTCGGTGAAGTGTTTGTGTATAGTCCCATTAG